GTGTTTTTCCATGACTGGAGCCGCTGTTAATAACTGTAATTTGGTCTGTAAAAATGGCAATTCTGTTTCCTGACATGGCATGCTTTACTGGGTATGTCATTACACATTGTGCAATCTTTACTTGAATACTGACGAAGATGCCAATGTTCACATAAAATAGCATATTTAAAGGTGAACTGTGTAACATTTCTAGTGGAGAGTGTGCCACAAATTTTGTCTAAAATGTTCCACGGTAAAGATTAAACCTATCTATCACAAGGGAGACGAGCAGGTTACAGCACTAGGCTACATAACAAATGGAATCCGTGGAGAGTTCACTCCTATTCATGGAAAGAATTATTGTATTTAGCAATAGAAACACACGTAATGAATAAATGCTAGATGTATATGTTAATGTCATACTATGGAACATTCCAGGCAAAGCAATAACATTTATTTATTTATTTATAAAGGAAGCCCTTTGAGATGTAGCATCTCGTTTGCGAGAGGGTCCTAAATACATTAACAAAAATAACGTTTACAGAAAAGAAAGAATTCATACTATACAATCCAGGACCCTAAGATATACATCTCTCTGATTTTATCATCACCACACCTATATTTGTAAATTAGTGAAGAAAAAGAGCAACTCTATGTACAACAGGAAGTGCATACAACAAAAATGTATTTTTATCAAAAACAGGAGCAGGATGTTTGTTAGTATCTGAAGACTGATCCCTTAAAATGGTGAATCAATGTAATTGATCAGATTGAGGAGGGCAAGTTGTTCCAATCATTTGGAGCTTTGAAGTTAAATGCTCTGTGGCCAGTTTCTTTTTTTATTGTAGGGACATTAAAAAATAGTTTTTCAGTCTGACGTAAATTATATGCTAATCAAAAACTCTTTTAAGTAGTGTGGGAACTTTGAGTAATAACATTTAAACACAAATTCAACATCAACATGTCCATGGAGATGTAGCTAAGGTAGGTAGTGGACCCCCCACCAGAAAACTTGGGCAATGCATCTTTAACCTACTTTTATTTACAGAATTATAATTATGTATATATAACAATATATTTTCTTATGCTTTCTATAGTTACTTGTATATATTTTGTATTGTTTAGCCTGATAGCGAGAAGACTTTTGAAGGTTGCCCCTAAAAACAACTACTATGTTTGTTGCAGTCCCACCTAAACCTCCTCACCTCCAGACTCCAGTAAAGTCCGGCCCACAGCACAAGCATGGACCCAAAGAAGACCAGAGTCCAAACCAGGGGCTAAACGCATTCACCAACCCATCCCTGAACTGCTACTCACCCATTCCTATTAAAGCCAGTTTTAAAAATGGAGACCCTATCAAATCTCCTCAAGCTATTTCTTATCTCATACCTTTGGGATCACAGAGCTCAGCAGATGTAGGCATTCAAAACTGTAACCCCAAAAGTGAAGGAAAGTGCAGTCCAAAAAACGTTCACAGGAAGATGTGGACCTATACTCCTACCAAGAACTCCAAATCTTGGCTCGGAATAAATAAAATAGCAAAGTTGGAGGGACAAGAGAGGAACACACCAAAGTCTCTGAGTGTGCCTGACCTGATCACTTACCTGGAAGAAAGCAGGTTAGACCAATATTTTTTCTGTTATTTTGTGTTATTCCTGCCATGGCTGCAAAATATTGTTACACTGTATTACAAGTCTTAACTGTTTACAAAATACAGAAATAGTTTTTGCAATTCAGAGCTCCTGAGTGTATAGTCCGGTTCCTTATATACTTTTGTGGGAATTTTTGGGGGATTTGCTAACCTATATATATTTTTGGAAAGGTTATAGTATATGGAGTCAGAAAATCAATGTTTGCATTTGCCCACATGTCTTTATGGTGGCCATATTGGATTTTTTTTTTAAATTGCCGCCAAAAAACCCTTTTTGGAATATCTCAGCCTCTGAATAAGTTGAAATGTTGATTTTAACTGCTAAACCCACATTTTCAGGGTCAGGGAATCAAATGGTGCTAGTTACAAACCTGTAAGACCTACCCAAATTAACCCTTAGATGAATAAGTGGGTCAAAAATGACCCAGTTTGGTTGTTTTCTTGCAATTTCACTGTAATATTCACATGTAATACTCCATGTTCCTCCAAAAACATGTTTTTTTGTTTTTTTTAAATGATCCTGCTGAAATACATCAACAATATGGGTAAAACAAATTATAAACATCACATGCAGCTGGTCAGATAACTCAAAGAGTTTAAAAGTAGCTAACATAAAATTTGGATATTGGATGTAAACACATACATTTAGACACAATATGATTACACAACTTTTTTATGAGACATTTTCTATACATCATCATCATCATCATCACTTTCATACAACCACAGACTGTATATATGAGTGGACAGATCTAAAACTGTAGCCGCCATGTGCCAAATAGGAAGTTCTCCAGGAGGCTCTTCCGGCTCCTTCTGACTCTGGCTCCAATGGACTTACATTAGGATCTTGTGGCTCCTCTCTCTGTACCTGCTGCAGTAAGCCTCAAACATTTTGGTCTTAAAATGTTTGTGTTAACCCACGACACATGATCCTATTCATAATATAGAGTCTGGCTCCAGATTGGCTCCTGTAACCATGAACATCACGAGCCTCATTTGAGTGGTACTGAACTCTGTGGGTCACACTCACTTAGTCCACTTCTTTTATACAGTCTATGCAACAACATGGCTTCGGAATCATCATCATTCTGGCACTGGCTGCTGCACTGACACATGTCGGTACAGGATAAACCTTTAGTTTCTGGTGTGCAGTTCTGCAGTCGCCTTTGTACTTGGCAGTGGTGAACCGTGGACCTGGACCCTGAGCCTTCATTAGGACTAACTGCTGCTATCATGACATCATTTATTTAAAGAAAACTAAATGAAGCAAATTGCGCATGCACTTATTGCATATATTTGCTTAATAAACATTAACTACTGTTCAACAAGATGGACAGATCCACGGCTGTCCGGGCTCCGAGCTCTGGTCTGGCCATGGGCTCTGAGCTCCAGTTCTTCCGTCGTCCAAATAGGGGTGTCCTGCTTGTTTTTTGACACTGCGGTCTCGCTTATATTTGCTATCACAGGGTATTCACAAGATGTTGTGGTATGTGTGTGTGTATGTATGTGTATGTATGTATATATATATATATATATATATATATATATATATATATATATATATATATATATATATATATATATATATATATATATATATATATATATATATATATATATATATATATATATATAGGGAATGTGGCTACAGCCAAATACCTGCAAAGAGTGAGGCAAGTCCTAAGAAGCCAGCTCAATGGCAAGAACAAGGCGCAGGCAATCAACAGCTCTGCCCTGCCAGTGATCAAACACCCTGCAGGAATCATAAGCTGGCCAAAGGAGGAGATACAGACCACAGATGTTAAGACACGAAAGCTCCTGACCATGCATGGAGGGTTCCATCCCAATGGCTTGAGAGGGTCTGAAGGACACACAGAGGCTCATTCTGGAGGTCAGGAGCAGGCCCTGGGCACTTGAGTAATAGAGGCCCAGATCTACCACACCAAACAAGAGCCACGGTGTAGATTGTGCAAAGAGGGTCCTGAGACAGTCCAGCACAGAACTGCAGGGTGTAAGATGCTGCAGGGAAAGCAAACATGGAGCGACATAACCAAGTGGCGGGCATAGTGTACAGAAACATCTGTGCAGAGTACGGGCTGGAGACCCCAGGATCAAGGTGGGAAACACCTCCAAAGGTTGTGGAGAACGACCGAGCCAAGATCCTGTGGGACTTCCAGATACAGACTGACAGGATGGTGATGGATCAACCAGACATAGTGGTGGTGGATAAGAAACAGAGCAGAGCCGTGGTGGTGGACATCACAATACCAAGCGATGGTAATATCAGGAAAAAGGAACCGCCTGTCAATCTCACGTTCCGTCCTCCCCTCACTCATGAACAAGACCCCGAGATACTTGAACTCCTCCACTTGAGGCAGGGACTCTCCACCCACTCGGAGAGGGCAAGACGTCTTTTTCCGGTCGAGAACCATGGCCTCGGATTTGGAGGAGATGATCTTCATACCAGCCGCTTCACACACGGGTCAAACTGCCCCAGTGCTGCAGGTCCTGGTTTGATGAAGACAACAGGACAACATCATCTGTGAACAGCAGAGATGATCCTGTGGTCCTCAAACCAGACTGTTCGGCCCCTGACTGCACCGAGAAATTCTGTCCGTAAATACAATGAACAGAACCGGTGACAGTTGCGGCCCTGGTGGAGTCCAACATGCATCGGGAATAGGTCTGACTTACTGCCGGCAATGAACACAGCTCCTGCTCCGGTCGTACAGGAACCAGACAGCCCTTAGCAAAGGGCCCCGGACCCCATACTCCCAGAGCACCCCCCACAGGAGACCATGAGGGACACGGTCGAATGCCTTCTCCAGATCCACAAAGCACATGTGAGCTGGTCCAGTGTTCCACGACCGGGACGAAAACCACGGTCGGATTCTCCTCTCCAGTCCCTGGCACAGACCGGGGAGGCTGAGAAGTGTGACTCCCCTGTAGTTGGAACACACCCTCCGGTCCCCCTTCTTATACAGAGGGACCAACACCCCGGTCTGCCAGTCCAGAGGTACTGTCCCCGACCGCCACACGATGTTGAAGAGGCGTGTCAGCCAAGACCCACAACATCCAGAGACTTAAGGTACTCATGATGGATCTCATCCAGCCACGGGCTTTATATTATGAATAGGATTTTTTGATGGACAAAATAGCAAAAAAAACCCCAAAAAACTAGAAAAGCACTCAGAGAGCGCAGACCTCCACCAAGGACTACCCCCATTTTTTATAGAAATTGCGATAAAATCAGTCTTCTGGATCAGATCCGGAACAGCCTTTGGAATATGAAAGAGGATCCCATTGTCAAATTTCATGGGGTTTGGTCAATAATTAACCGAGATATTGAGAAACAAAATTTTTGGCCCTATTTACCACAATGTTAACTAAAATTTCAAAGTGATCCAGAATCCAGGATTTCTTCCGGATCACCCCCAAAATGAAATCAGTTCTTCCTTTTCACATTTCCAACAAATCCTGACAATTTCATCAAAATCGGTCCATAACTTTTTGAGTTATGTTGCTAACAGACAAACAAACAAACAAACAGACAAATGCCGTCAAAAACATAACCTCCTTGGCGGAGGTAATCAGGATCATGTAGAGCGGGTTCATACAAACATTTTAAGACCAAAATGTCAAGGCTCACTGCAGCAGGTATAGAGAGAGGAGCCACAAGATCCTAATGTAAGTCCATTGGAGCCAGAGTCAGAAGGAGCTGGAAGAGCCTCCTGGAGAACTTCCTATTTGGCACATGGCGGCTACCAGTGTTAGATCTGTCCACTCATATATACAGTCTATGGTTGTATGAAAGTGATGATGACAATGATGATGTATAGAAAATGTCTCATAAAAAAGTTGTGTAATCATATTGTGTCTAAATGTGTGTGTTTACATCCAACATCCAAATTTTATGTTAGCTACTTTTAAACTCTTTGAGTTATCTGACCAGCTGTGATGTGATGTTTATAATTTGTTTTACCCATATTGTTGATGTATTTCAGCAGGATAATAATAATAAAAAAAAAAGAAAAAGATGTTTTTGGAGGAACATGGAGTATTACATGTGAATATTACAGTGAAAATGCAAGAAAACCAAACCGGGCAATTTTTGACCCACTTATTCATCTAAGGGTTAATTTGGGTAGGTCTTACAGCTTTGTAACTAGCACCATTTGATTCCCTGACCCTGAAAATGTGGGTTTAGCAGTTAAAATCAACATTTCAACTTATTCAGAGGCTGAGATATTCCAAAAAGGGTTTTTTGGCGGCCATTTTTAAAAAATCCAATATGGCCGCCATAAAGACATGTGGGCAAATGCAAACATTGATTTTCTGACTCCATATACTATAACCTTTCCAAAAATATATAGGTTAGCAAATCCCCAAAAACTTCCCACTAAGGTCAAAAAATGGCAATAAGGAACCGGACTAGTAGTTTCAGATGAAGATATTATGTTATTTTCAGATCTGTTCTAATAATGTTTCTTCATCAACAGTAAGTAACAACATTATAACATGGCTTAAAGACAAGAATCAATTTTGTGTAATTTAAGACTTTAAAAAGGGGTCTCACAATATAAATTTTTAGTGTTAACAATTGTTAAGAGAAAAAATTGTATTAAACTTGTCTAACTCCATGGAAACAAGCAAGTTTCTTAGGGCACTTTTTAATTTAGTTTTATTTTCAGTAACACTTGTTGATTTTTCAGTTTCTATCCTGAAAAAGACCGTTCTCCACTACAGCCTCTGCAGACCAACAATATTTCTGATTCTGAGATGTTCAATCAAATGGACAATTTCGCAAATGAAAAAGCTGCCCACTTCTTAAAACCGGAAGTCAATGTCAGCATGGACAAAGCAAATAAGCCTGTTGTCATTAATGAAAGCAGTCAAACTGAAGAGCCCAAAATACCAGTGGCCAATGTTCCAAAGTTTTACTGCAAATGGACTGAGGATGTAATTATTGACCATGACCACAAGGAGGAGCCTGAGGAAAAGGAGAGTGTGAAAGAAGAGGTTGATCCAGAGCAGAAATTACACCAAATTGCAAATGAGTTCCTTCAAACTGAGCGGGCCTATGTGGCTCGACTGCACCTTCTAGACCAGGTGAGAAATTGTTTATTTTTATACACATTTTATACATCTATATCTTTAAAATTTTTTGCCATCAGAATGTTCAAAAATGCTTTATAACTCAACATAAACCACTATTTTGAATTTCCACTGTAGAAATGTCAGTTAGTTTGCTTTTCACAAAAAGTATAACTTATAGTAAAGTTTGTAATATATCAGTAGATTTAAAAAAAACTAAATAAAACAAACAAACAAACCAAAAACTATTGTGGTGTCAACAACAACAGCAACATCTGTGCAGTGAAACCAAAAATCTGTCCTCCATCAGAAATGTTAACCATGCTTTGTTATCACATGCAACTGGTCAATCTGAACTTCAGTTGAAATGGCATTACATTCCACTTCACATTTACCTCCATTCCATTCAGGACTTATTTGTTTACAGACCTTTAAAGAAGAGCCCGACCAATATGGATTTTGTTGTGGCCGATATGAAACCGATATAATGGAAGTTGGCGCTGCCGATAGCCGATATAATCACCGATATATTTAGTGATGTAAAAATTCACTGTAAATCTTGAATTGTTTAAAAAACTTAGGTTTGGCTCTAGTGAATTCTAAATTGGGTTTATTTAGGCAACATTTATTGTTATTCTGACACTTTACATCATATTTACATACAGTAGATTGGCCTAATGGCATTTTTGCATCACATTCTAGCTAGTAATGATGGGTATTCCAGTTTTTGTTTTGTTTTTTGAAAATCAGCTCTTTTGGCTCGGCTCACTAAAGCAGCTGGCTCTTTCGGCTCCCAAGTGACTCTTGAGATTGTTTTGTTGCAGGCAGGACTAAACAAGAACTGAACCAGGACTGAAAAAAGACTAAACCAGGACTAAAACAGATTTAAACCATGTGTAAAACAGGACTAAACCAGAACTGAACCAGGACTCGGTTTCTATCTCTCTCCCTCACTCGAGCCCAAGATTAGTCCTGGTTTATTCATTTTATGCTGAACTGCAGCCAAATATGCCCTTTTTTTCACAGGATAAAAAACTGTCAAACTACTGTCAAACTACAGGTCTACATGCGGCTTGAAGACAGAAAGTGAGAAAAACAGAAAACACTGCTCCCAATAAGAAACATGCTCCCGTTGTTCGCTTCAAAGAGCCGGCTCTAAGAGCCGCTTCGATCGCGACTGACCCATAACTCCTAGCTAGTAAATAAACAATCGCTATTAGCCTTTAGCCGTAAAAACGTGCGCACCGCGGTAATTAATTATATGCATAAATGTGGATCATTCACACGTCTATTCACAGCTCATTTACATATCAATGCAGGTCCAGTAACATGTATACGGCCAATGTAGTCACTTTACACTAGGCCAACAGAAAACGGCCTGTTTATGTGTGGGAGCTACAGCAGCTAATCGCTAACAAATAAACAAAACTAGCTTCAAAGTCGATGTATTTCCAACACTCACCGCTCACACAGGCTCCTCCTCACATCATAAGTCTGCACTAATAAATGTCCTTTTAATCCAGACTCAAACCGATTGTCGTAAAAAGAATATAATCTCAATGTTGCGCACCGCTGCGGGTGTAACAGTGATACCTCCAACTATCAACACCAATGTTCACTGTTAAAACTGCAGGCCATCCTCATCTCAAGTGTCATCATGAACTCATAAAACAGCAATATTTAGAACTTTGTACAAACTCATCGCACATCAGCAGCAGAAGCTCTGAGCTCGGGTAACAGCAGCAGCAAAGGCGGTAAAGGGGAGACCTCAGCAGCGTCTTGGTCAGATGGTCCGGAGGCTTTGTCCTCCATTTGCTGGTTCCAGACGGGGGTGAGTAAGACCAGTGCTTGATGGACCGGGTCTGAGTGGTTCCGTGTCATCGTCTGCGCGCTGGTTCCGTGTGGAGAAAGCGAGAATGTGCTGTGGACTACAGGTCTGCTCCGGTCTTTCGCGCTCAAGAACCGCGGCTGGTTCCGAGGTGGTGCAGCATCGGGACAGAAGCGTGAGTCAGTTTGGTTGGTTATATGTTGTTCTGAGCGCCCGTCCTCCGCGCTCTTGGTTCTCCCCGGGGAAAGTTCTTCTCAGGCCGAGGCTCCTGACACCACTCCCCGCTTCAGCTCCTCTGAGCCCAGACAGAACCGGAGCTGCTACCGCTGGATCAGGACTCTGGTTTGGATCTAGTCCGCCTGTATTTCTCATACTAGGCTAAAAGCAGGACATTTTTGAAGTTGAATCAATTGAGTAGGCTGGTTGCTACGTGAACACGGGGAACACCGGGTCGTCTCTGTGCGTGCAGGTCGTGAACAGAGGTACACCCCCCCAATTCTGACTCACTCTGGAGCCACATGTTCGCACATTGGCTCTGATCTTCGTGTATTACATTCTCTGTATTGGCCATTGTTGGCAAAATAATTCGGAAATGAATCGTCTGGAGAACAATCTGTTAGTGCGCTGGAGTCGTACAGCGCGAGTTCTTTCTTGCCTATCTTTCTCTCTCACCTGCCCACTCTCTCTCTCTCCCTCCCTTTTCTTAATGGAAAGTAAATTTGCTATTGTGTCCCTGATGCACTGAGGTTTGAATGTATAGCATCTGTTTTTCTTTTTCTTTTATGATTTATATATTGTGCACGACCAGGGATGTGCGAACTGAATTGCCCTTTGGAATTAATAAAGTTGATTGATTGATTGATTGACTAAGATATGGGCAAAACAACAACATTCAAACCAGTCTATGAACCTATGACACCATGTCTTTTGAAGGGTAAACCACTGATTTGTCTCCGTGGAGATGGGGAGTATTGCAGTAAACCAAACTATCTCTATAAAGACAAAATGTTAATGCTCCCAGGTCAAGTTACAAGTCAGATCTGTGGAGTGACAAGTCTTACATTAATAATGTTATGCACACACTTAAAACGGCTATAACTTATAATAGGTTACAAAGATAAATTTAGTGATATACTGTATAACTTTCCAGTTAAAAGAATAGCATCTCCATGGAGACAAGCAAGTAGCGGACTCCAATCAGAAAAGTTACATAATGCCCCTTTAAATAAATTGTAATAAACAATACAATGTACATGTACTTTAATTTTTTATTTTTTTTTAAATAAGAAAAGAAAATAAGAATTCCAAATCAGCCTTCTGTATATTGACTAATTTCCGTACATTCTTTAAGGGTGATCTTCTGATCAGCTCCATCTCTGGTTCATCATCTTCTGAAGACATGATTCTTCTTGTCAACTTCATCAAATAATTTCTGATCAGCTCATGTTCTTCATCTTCTGGCAGTGGCGGACTGGCAATTGTTCTGGAAAAGCCCAGAACAGCCGTCCGCTCGTGGACCGGTCCTCAATTTTCACCGTGGGTCGATGTGTAGGGGAAAATTCCAATCTGCCCCTGTCTTCTGAAGATACAGTTCTTCTAGTCAGCTTCATCAAATCACTTCTGATGTACTCTTGTCCTTCATTTTCTGGAGACATGGTTCTTCTCTTCAGTTTCATCACATCACTTCTGATCAGCTCATGTTTTTCATCTTCCGGAAACACGGTTCTTCAGGTCAGCTTCATCAAATCACTTCTGATCTGCTCTTGTCCTTCATCTTCTGGCAGCGGCGGACTGGCAATTGTTCTGGAAAAGCCTAAAACGGCTGTCCGCTGGCGGACCAGTCCTCAATTTCCACCATGGGGGAAAATTCCAGGGCCGTTTTTAGGTCCCAATCTGCCCCTGTCTTCTGAAGATACAGTTCTTCTAGTCAGCTTCATCAAATCACTTCTGATGTACTCTTGTCCTTCATTTTCTGGAGACATGGTTCTTCTCGTCAGTTTCATCACATCACTTCTGATCAGCTCCTGTTCGTCATCTTCTGGAGACACGTTTTTTTCTCGTCAGCTTCATTAGATCTCAGGACCACGGGGCTCAGATGTCCCCTCCAAACCAGTCACCATGGGAACAGAAACAGAAAAAGAAACAAAGTTAAGGCGTGTGCACATTCAAAATAAGATAATATGGAATTATTTCTTACCTCATGTTTGTTTATTATTATTATATATATATTATCATCTTCTGGCAGCAGTGGACTGGCAATCTGTGTATTCTGGAAAAGCCGTCCGCTCATGAACCAGTCCTCAATTTTCCACCGTGGGCCAATTTGTGTGCTTCATCACATCCCTTCTGATCAGATGTGAGCTAACCAGTGTGGGTCCTTGGGCAAGACCCTTCGTGCTACTGCCCACCTCATACAATGATGAGAGAGAAAGAAACGTATGACATGCCGGCTCAGACGTCGCCCAGGCCAAACAAGGTCTGCATCAGGTGCTGGGGAACCAGGGCACCTTGATGAAAAATGGGCTCTGTTGGGATGCTACTACTACAGTAACCCTAGGCAGAGGGGTTACATGAACAGGATGTGGGAGAAATGGTTATTACGATACCCACAGTCCAAGCTAACGGCCAAACAACTAGTAGCTCAGTGTTCCAACATCCACAAACGGCAACTGCTATCACAACTAGAGATTGATGAGGTACAACACAAATGCCACGGCAAGGGGGAACCAGTGTGCCAGGTCAGAGGGGAGTTGACACCAACTCCCCAACCAGAGATTGGGTACGAAGCCCCAATAAGTATCACGCTGAGCAAGGCAGCGACTGACCTGAAAGATAAGATCATGGCCCGAATGAACACAAGGCAACCCCGATGCCAGTTACAGAGGCTAAGTGAAGTACCATCTGAAAGTCTCCTAGACAATGTGAATGCAGCACTGAGAGCGATCCCTACCACAACAATCACTGAAACCTAGATGTGTTGGGCTATAAGAGCAACCATGGGAGCCATGTTGCCCATACCTGAAGCACTCGAAACTGCATTGGCCAGCCGCTGGTGGATCTGAGAGAAGACCACAGCAACCTCCCTGAACAGAATTCAGTCACCATCACAGTGGCAGATATCCAGGGAAGAGTCTCAGGTATGAAAAACTGGACCGCACCGGGCCCTGACATGATCCATGCGTACTGG